GTTTTCCAGGTATAAGATCATGTTATCCACAAAAAGCAAGTTTGACCTCCTCTGTCCCCATTCAAATACCTTTGATCTCCTTCTCTTGCCTGATTGCGATGGGGTTAGGACTTCCAATACTATGTTGAATAGCAGTGGGGGGGGGGGCATCCTGGTCTAGTTCCAGATTGGAGTGAAAGAAAATGCTTTCAGTTTTACTCCATTCAATATAATATTAGCTGTGGGTTTGCTGTAGATGGCCTCTATCAATTTAAGAAATGTCACACCTAAGCCTATTTTCTTGAGTGTTTTTATCATGACAGGATGCTGGATATTATCAAAAGCCTTTTTTGCATCTATTGTAAGAATCATATAGTCTTTGTTTTTTAGTCTATTTATGTGATGAATTACATATGGATTTATGTATGTTGAACTAGACTTTTATTTATTTATTTATTTTTGAGACAAAGAGTCTCATTATGTCACCCACAGTAGAGTGCTATGGTGTCACAGCTCACAGCAACCTCAAACTCTTGGGCATAAGCAATTCTCTTGTCTCAGCCTTCCAAGTAGCTGGGACTACAGGTGCCTGCCACAATGCCCAGTTATTTTTTTTCTTGTTGTTGTAGCTGTCACTGTTGTTTAGCAGGCACAGGCTGGATTTGAACCCGTCTGCCCCAGTGTCTGTGGCCAGCGCCCTAACCACTGAGCGACAGGTGCCGAGCCATGAACCAGACTTTTAGTTAAGAATCCTCCATGGGCAGTGCCTGTGGCTCAAAGGGGTAGGGTGCTGGCCCCACATGCTGGAGGTGGCGGGTTCAAACCCAGCCCCGGCCAAAAACTGCAAAAAAAAAAAAAAAAAAAAAAGAATCCTCCATACATCTTTCCATAAAAGTTATATTTGTTCATAATCCCAACAGCAGTGCAAAAAGTGTTCTTTTCTCTCCACATCCATGCCAGCTTCTGCAGACTTGAGACTTTGTGATGTGAGCTAATCTCACTGGAGTTAGGTGATATCTCAGAGTGATTTTGGTTTTTCTTTATTTTATTTATGTGTTTTTTCCTTGTGGAGAGAGTCTTACTTTGTCACCTTTGGTAGAGTGCAGTGATGTCATAGCTCACAGCAACGTCAAACTCTTTGGCTCAAGTGATCCTCTAGCCTCAGCCTCCTGAGTAGCTTGGACTACAGGTGCCTGCCACAATGCCCAGCTATTTTTAGAGACAGGGTCTTGCTTTGGCTCAGGCACTCATCTTGGCCTCCCAGAGTGCTAGGATTACAGTCGGGAGCCACCACACCTGGCTTCTCAGAGTGGTTTTGATTTTCATTTCTCTGTTGAGAGCATTCTTCCTGATTCACCTATGCAAGTTTCACCTTGCTGGCTTACTGGTGTCACAAGGAGAACTTCATCTGCATCTATCAAAGTAGATTTATGTTTCTTGATGTTTATATATCTCAACTTTCACAATGAACAACAGAAACTTCTAAGAGAAGAAACATGTTTGCAGTGCCATCAGTTTAGGTGATAATCGAAGGATATTTCATTGGCAAACACTTGAATTCAGTGAAAGAAAACAGCTAATGGTTCATTTGTTTACTGGGATGCTCACATTTGTGTACTGGAACAAGCTTAGATTGTGCATCTCTACCTGATTTCTTTTAGTGAATGGGGCTCCTTTGAGAGTGCACCTGTCTGAACAGTACGAACTTACCATGGATGGGCATGCATGCCCCTCTTAGTGTAGTTGGCTCTAAGGTGATCTTAGATTTAGTGAGGTTTTTTTTTCTTTTTAGAGACACTCACTTTGTTGCCCTCAGCAGAGTGCCGTGACATCACAGCTCACAGCAACCTACAGCTCTTGTGCTTAGCCAATTCTCTTGTCTCAGCCTCCTGAGTAGCTGGGACTACAGGTGCCCACCACAACACCCAGCTATTTTTTTGTTGCAGTTTGGCCGGGGCCGGGTTTGAACCCACCACTCTCAGTACATGGGGCCACACCCTACTTACTGAGCTGCAGGTGCTGCCCAGATTTAGTGAGTTTTAATACATAACACCAAAAGCTGATGCACAGTCAACAACAAAAAATTAATGGCTCAGCGCTTGTGGTTCAAGCAGCCAAGGTGCCAGCCACATACACCTAAGGTGG